GGAAATAAATTGGGGGCTTTGCAAGGTATGAAAATTGCAATGATACACGGATATTTAGAGAGGTAGCTGACATCTAGTAATCACCAAATATGCTGAGTGTCATAAACCAAAAAAAACGCCAAGCAAAAACTGAATTTGAATAAAATAATATTGTCCAAAAAGCAAAATGAATAATGGAATGGAGATAAATATGAGACTAAATCAAAAGGATCTGGCAGGATTTCGCCTGCAAAGCATAGTTGATTTCAAGTGTGGATACCTACAAACGATGAGAAATCAACCCATGAATATACCAATTGTTGAGTGTGAATAACGTCATACTTTTTGACTGACACTATCTATAATCTGCTTGTTTATGAACGGATCTTCCTTGAGGATTGGACAATAAACCTTTTCTAAAGGGCATGCAAACACCCACAACAAGCAAACAGACACATGAAAGAATCACAATTTTGTCGAATCTATATGAATGTGCGATTAAAGGCAGTAGCAAAATCAAACTTTATCCCAAATTACTCTTCGGTTTCATGTTCGTAACTACCTGACTTGTCACATGAAAAGCGGCCTATCCCATCCGCCACACGATCCCTGAGATTATTATAGTTACCAAGTAAATGCTGGTAATTTCAAAGTAATTTATGCCTGATTAAATAAGAATTATAATAGTATTTATATGTAGTATATAGTATATATTATATAGAGTAGGATTAAGATAAGAGAAACTGGATTCTCCTTAGGTCTTCGTTTGGCTGTATCTATAGTTTAAAGATGTGCTGGCAAATAAAGATGAAAGCCTAGCACCCCTCGGGCATGACCAAAGAAAAAGTGACCATGGCCTGTAGCTCCATTAGTCATGATGCCACCTTTGGTTTTAGATGCAGACTTATGACTCACTTTATTCACACTTTGATGAAACAAAGTTACGATTCCCTTCTAATGAGGTTACTGCAAGAGCTGAGAAGAATGACAATTAAATGGAATGAGTTAATAGGAATTTTTTAATGATGAGGAGGAAATGTGACTAGAATCTTTAAGATAGTCAAGAATAAAGTAGGGGTAGAGATTATGAAGCCAGAAATTTGGGAATCGGAGAGTCAAGTTGCCAGCGGTGCTAATTATACTCGTGATATGGTGCTTAATTTTGTTAACTAGTCCTTTGCTCGGTTAAATCCAGTCCCAAACAAGATGACGTCGAATTCATGTGCTCAAGTCTTCTTTCCTTGGGCCGGTTCCTCAGGTCTACCGCCTTGGGTGAATACTAATCTTCTTCTCATCCCATCTACACAAAGCGGCTCGATACTTGGTTGATATGCAAAAGCCGGTAGGTAGAGCAGTAGACGATGGAAGACGAATGGTGATGGAGGCCTGAAAGTGAGATCGTTTGGCTCGTCCAATAAACAAAGACGACAGAACAGACTAAGCCGACGACGAAGAGCTACATTTTAGCATTTCGCCAAAAGGAAATGAAAGCGACAAATTGGTGGAGGAAATGGGCAGAAAAAATGCAGTGAAATCATCATCGTGTGAAGAGTGAGCGAAAACAGGCGACAGATAGTGGGACAATAAAATGAGGGTATGAGCAGAAAAGCAGGGGGCGAGTAGCACTGCAAGCTTCTTAATTGTTGCTCTCCTGGTGCCAGCGACAGATAGGGCAGGTCTGGGGATAGAAACCATGCTTCAATAGAGATGTTGGTGCAAACATTGGCAATTTGGAGAAATTGGAAGTGAATAAATCAGAGCAAATCCATGCTCGTCTGGCCAGGTTTGGCGGCAGCCTACTGCCTTAGCCGTTGGCTTGCACCACTTTCTTCACGTCAAGCTCAGCCAAAATGGATGCAAAGTATCCATGGCCCACCCGGACAGAAGCGGCTGAATTTTGGTCAATTTCCCAATCTGTAACGCTGTAACATTCAGCCTGAATGAGTCGCTCATCCCGAATGTTACAAAATACATGTCGGCCTCCCTCCTGTGTCGGTAGGCTGCGTGTTGTCATGACAACCTCCACAATCAGGTTGCTAGTCTGTCATTGAGAGATGAGTAAGAATGGAAAATTTGTTCAGTCTGCTCGATGCGTTGTCGAGGCGAGACAGGCCTTCATTCGGGGCCCAAATATCAGAAAGACGGGCGTTTCCGCTTTGTCAAAAGTGTTGCCTGACCATCTCGAAGTCAGAATACTCCAAAATGGACAGATCACGGTCTACAATTTATCGTTGCAAGGCCAGACACAAGAGAAAAGTAAAGTTCTAAAGTCGTGTGCAGTAGTATCACCAGGCCGAAGAACAGTATGCTGCAGGTGAGACAGGAAACCAGGAGGCGCCAATTACGCAATACTGGAGAGACTAAGAAGGAGAAAGTCGGGCAACTGAGAATTGCATAGAAAATTACCTTCACTCGAACTGCCATAGCATGTTCATGCGTATCCAAGTAGTCATTTGATGTATAATTATTGAAACTGGCCGAAACATGAATAGCAATTATAATGCCTTAAAAATCCCAACATTTACTGGTCCCTGTAAGGTACAAGAGGGCGAAGAGGCAAGTCCGACTTTTGAAAAGCATATAACGTCGAACAAGTACTCGGTTTAGGAACATTCTTTTTGACACTATTTCCGAGGCAATATGCTTCGATTCAGGTGAAAACATATTAAGCTTTCGTCCTTCATATGGCAGACATATTAAGAGCAGGGTATCACCCATATTTCTTGAATATGGTTGTAAAGATAATACCCCGTTCTGAAGATGTCTGCCATACGATGGACGAAAGCTTGGTATTATGAAATGTATAATGTGTAAGGTGATGAAGGACTGGTAGAAGAAGAATTTTACCATATTGATATGAGTTGAGCTGAAAATTGTGGGAGAATTCTTCTTCTACCAATCCTTCATCACCTTAATCGAAATTGGGTGAATACATTTTATATTACTGATTTACTGGTAGTCATGAAAACAATACTTAATTCTAAAATAAATTATAGTAGTCGATTGTTATAGCAGATATACGTTTGATTAATCGACAATTCCACCAAAAAGAATAGGATATGGCAAAAATGCCTGGCCTTTCTTGAAAATTCAAATTTGCCCTGTGACCCAAAGGGCGCTCGTTTCAGTGTAGCCGAGCGGTTAGCGTGTCAAGCTCCCATCCTGCACTGTCGCGGTTCGACTCCCGCTGAGGGTGTGGATAAGGCCGATGCGAGGTCGAAACTGCAGTTTATCCTGGAAGAGAAAAACTTTTGGGAAAGCAAGGCTATGTGAAATTCAATGTAAACATCAGCTCTACTCATATCATTGTGGGAAAATTCTTCTTCTACCATTCATTCATCACCTTAAGCGAAATTGGGTGAATACACTTCATAATACTAAGCTTTCGCCATCGTATGGCAGGCATCTTCAGAACTGGGTATCATCTTTACAACCATATTCAAGAAATATGGGCGATATCCTGCTCTTAATATGTCTGCCATATGACGGACGAAAGCTTAGTATGTTTTCACCCGAATCGAAGCATATTGTCTGGGAAATAGCGTCAACAAGAATGTTCCAATCGTTAGTCAAGAGGAATCTGCCGTCGTCTTTTGATGGGATCGACCTCAGAATCTCCTCATCAAGCGCTTTGATTAGAAACGGAAGTAGGCTCAACATTGGAGTAAGCGAGTAAGGGAGGGGTGTAAAGGAATGCCTCAAAGTTGTGGCAGATGAATTGTGCGAAGAAGGCCTTGATGCATTGTCCTGCTACTCAATGAATATGTACTGAAATTTTATCCGTCATGTGACAGACTTTCACAGAAAGCAAAGACAATATCTAAAAAACTGTAACCAACCCCAAAGGCAGGAAATGGAGTCGGCTGCAATCGTACCTACTTGAGCTCATATGTGAGTAGCTTTCGAGACTATCGATAATTCTTGAATAATTACTTAGCTGCCCTAAGGTTGCCTTTAATGATTTAGGGAATGATAGGAATGAGTTTTTCCACAATTAGATGAGCAGGTTCAGGATGCAATGTTATTTAACTTGACATTGTCTTCCAAAGATTAATTCACTGGGATGGAGTATAGATAGATCCTCGCCTAGGTGCCATCAGCGCCTCCAGAAAAATTGGATACCGGGTCGTGAGTATCTAATGCCACTGGGAGTGCTGATGAGACCTAGGCTAGGTCGAAACTGCAATCCAGTTTACGAGCTAACCTTTTTAGAGACAACGATATTATAATACCGAAATTTAGTCACTTACTGAGGTGTTACATTATGTATTTGCTTGATAAATGCTTGCCTCCAAGTTTGCAGGCAAGTGAATAGCCACCACAGAAATGTGAATTGGATGCGGTTGTGTCCAAACAGCTGATTCCTCAAAAGATTACTGGCATTTTTGATCCTGCAATGTTAATGCGTGTACTCTTACACGTTTGCACGTCTGTTATTTGTATATGAAATGTAAGAATTATAAGCAGACCGGAGGTCAATCAAATCTTCTTATCTTGCTCTGCGGATCTTCCTGTCATCTTTAATGCAAAACTTCCATTTCGCGTAAAAGCGTGTGACGAAGATATCAAAATTCGATCCAGTCAGAATACAATAAAGGATTCCTTTTGGCCACCTATCATTCGGCTTAACTTGAACATTCTTGCTGAAGACGTCACCGAGGCATTCTGCTTCTCATTCACTGAAAAGGTGCCACATGACGGATCATATTGAAGCTAGCGAGTCAAAAAAACTCACTGGCTTATTCCCACGCCTATGCATTTTTATGAGCTACGAAATGATTTGGTTTGCTCAATTCATGTAGCAACTTAAAAACATGTGTTTTTATGATTTCATGAGTATGTGTAAATATATGCGAAGACATCAGTGATAATTCGAAGTAATTAAAGCAATCAATCTGGATGCGTTATGTCGGACACGTGTCTGGTTAATTTGATGGGCTTTTAGTTTGCTTATGAGAGAGAACGAGTGAAGTTAGACGAATAGGAAGTGAGTGGAACCAGTGCCAACAAAAGACTAGTCAATTCGCCTCTATGGATCTTTCTGCTGCCTTTAATGCTCAACTAAAAAGCATTAGTTAATAGAATGTCAATAAGAACAGACCGAAACTTCAATGGCAATCACAATGGCCTAATCATCCTGATATTTGATGCCATATTCAAGGCATGAAGATTAGCGTCGAAGGTCAGACCAAATTTTTGGAAGCTATGATTATTTGATAATATTGTAGATCTCGAATACGAGCTATATGCAGACAAAGTCGCATTAAGGGCTGAAGGATGGATAGTTGAATCGTGAGACCTGCTGATTTAATTGTGGGTCCTTCAACACATTATGCCACCTAGCGAGAATACAATTTTCATTCAGGATCTAATGATAGTATCAAAATATACACATTACAAATATAAATAAGGTAGCCGATTGTAATGACAAATTCACGTTTGCCTCATCGGCAATCCCATCATAGCAATTTGATATAAAAGAGGCCCGGTTTTCTTTGATAGTCACATCTGCCCTGCACTCCACAAGTATCAGTGACTGTGTTGCGTTGTGATGACGAGAGAAATATACACTGCACGACCTGGATTCGATGCCCGTTAAGGCTTCGTATTTGGCTTAGATAGGGTTAGAACTACAGTCTATCCTTGCAAGGCTAGGCGAATTTCACTTGTAGCATGAAGCCTACTCATATCAAAGTGGGATAATTTAACTATAAGTCAACTATACATAAACTAGCACACACGCACACACACATTCTAACCGATCCTATGTTTTTTCTGTATTTTCAACGACATGGTCTGGGGATATATCACATTTATCCATAATCCTAGCCAGCTCAGAAAGCAGACGCTAATGTTAATGCTACCCGCAATGAATTAGGCAAATTTAAACTTGTGGATACGAAGAGGAACTGGGTTTCGATGAATCTCCTGAGATAACATTGGTAGAGGGACCTTCATTTCGTATGAAAGAA